TCCATTGACTCTATTTCCTTTTTGACTTGGACATTTCACCCCTACTTACCCAGCCCTTTCAGGGGAGGAGGAATAAATTTACTATGTGAGTAGTTTAGCCAGAAGGCTTGTATGGAAGATTGGCAAACAATAAAGGGAAATGTTTGTTCTTTGGATTTAAGTTCACATTATCACAAGCCTTGGATATTAGAAAACTTATGCTTTGCATTGCATACTTGATTATCTTGTAGTTTTTACGGAGCACTAAAACTCTTAAACTTGGAAAAATTTCTTTCCTAAGAGTAGGCCTTTGGTTTATGAAGAATGTAAACTTAATTCTTAACAGGATGTTAACTGATCTTTGGAAAATTGCCTCTGCTGAATGTACTTCTTTTGTATAATTAAACTTTGTGACAATACTTTGTGACTTTTGGGCATCTACTGTGTCTCATTTGTGCCTCACTGGGAATGAATAACCATTTTGGCCTGAGCTAGCCAATAACAAAAACAACAGAGAATCTACTTAAGAAATCAAATTTTAATTCTGTAATCAAGGATTTAAGTATTTTGTTAGGTTAAAATATTGTTCATGTTGGGAAATACCAGTCAATATGGTAGCACAGAAACTTGCTGCTAGTGAAACTCGCAATCAGCTCAGTCCTAGTGTCTTTCACTATGGTTATTTTCTTTACTGTGGAAATGGAAGCCCCCTTCCTGTCCTGACTTCACGAGCATTGTACATTTGTCAGCTAAGGCATCTTTTTCGCCTTTGTAGAAGTGGAGGCCATTCTGCCTGAAGTTTGATGGAATTATAGAAGACTTCAACTATGGTACTTTGTTGAGACTGGATTGTTCTCAGGGCTACACTGAGGAAAACACCATCTTTGGTGAGTTTCTTGCCTTTGGAATTGTTTCTGTATAAGGAGAGTGAGGGATCTGGTTTTATTGAAAAATCAGTGTCATGGATAGTTAGTTTGGAGAACATCTTATTTATTACGTCTTTTAATATTGTTACTATTCCTTGAGTAACTGTGAAATAGGATAGTTATTCAGCCTCATTTAGTAGAACTAGAACTCCACATCTTTGAAGCTTATGACTATACTTAAAACCTTTGATGTTAGCTCAGCTTTGTCAATAGATTTCCAGCAGGTTTAGAGAAGTAATTGTGACTAGGACAACAATCAATTCTATTCACCTTTCAGCTCCCAGGATACAATTTTTTGCCATTGAAATTGCTCGCAACCGGGAGGGCTATAACAAAGCAGTTTACACCAGTGTTCAGGACAAAGAAGAAAAAGGAGCTGACAGTGGAGAAGAGAAAGGAGCCAAAATGGAAGGAGAAAAGGAGAAAACCAAAAAAGGAGGAAAAGAAGAAGCCAAGAAAGAAATTAAAAGTGGTGAGACAGCTGTATGACGTAGACAAGGAATAGCACTCTAGAAGCTGTGACTCAGCTGAGCCTACAAGTACCATAATGATACTTGCACAGACCCCTGTAGTTAAATGTGTGTCCTTGTGAAATTGAAGGACATGTAGAAGGATATCTTTCTAGCCTAATAATCAGGAGCTGCTCTGGGCGGTTCTTTTGTATGAACTGGCTTAAAGACTATTAGTGGGGTTTTAGTCCACTGTTTCTTGATATTTTGTTTCTTGGTTCTCACCACCAGTCAAGTAAATTTTGTAATTAAATTCTTTTTTCATTTTGTTCTTGTAACTATATCTGTGATTGACTTTTTGAAAGGTATTTAAAATTCTCTGACACTTCAGATTTTTTTTCAGATATATAATCTCTTTGCCGTATCTTATATATAGTGATTTAATGCTTGTTTGTTAATGCTTGTCATTATTTCCTGTAGTGAAGTTCCCTCAAACCTGTTAAGTTGTACATGGTTTTGGGATTAGAAGTGCTTACATAAGAACTGATTCTTGCAATTTGACTATAGCTTTCTGATTTTCTTTGATATATCTGGTAAAAGATTTGTATTCCATGGGGATAATAGCAACACCCTGAACCTGTCAGACTAGTGACTGAAGCCCGGTTCACATTAGACGAGTAGGAAATTGGACCTGCTTCAGTACCTGCTTCTCTTCTGGTAGCCAAGTTGTTATCTTAAACCTATCAGAAATTAATAATTAAATATAAAGCCTGGTAGAGTGGCTTCCCTCTTATAATGCTTGGACAATAGCATGCGTTTATACATTAACACCAAATGAACATACTTTTAAATGATACATTGTCAGACTCCATAAATGGGGAGGGGGGTTCTTATATAATGACTTTTAAGAGTGTGTGTTTCAGTTATCTTCACATATGTATAAAGGTTTGTGCATGTCCTCATAGACATACTGACCTTGTTTGCTAAAACACACTAGTTACAGGAGGCCACAATGTTTATAGGGCATACAGTCAGTACTCTTAAAAGTCTAACCACACTATGATCATGCAAGAAAGGATTACCAGAGCAGAGAAGGGAGGGAAATGAGGCTTTTCCCCCACTGAATATAGAAGGAAAATAAAAATCAAACTTAATTGATGAGTTGTCTCCTAGGCAAGAGCTGAACTAGAGATGCACACATCTAGCAGCAGCAGTTGTGCACAAAGCAAATAGGTTTCTCCATGAATTCTCTTGTCTAGTTCTTAAAAATATCTAAAACATTTGTTAAGAGTTTCATTTTGTAAAAATATGTTTTTAAGAGGGTAGGAATGTGTTAAATACTTTATACTAGGCAGACTTTTTCGAATGAAGGAGTTGTTTATTGTATTAACTTTCTCTAGTCCATACATTCTTAAATATCCACAAACTTGTGTCCTTGGAAACACATAAATACTGCTTGCGGGACTGGGGAAGAATGAGGAGTATAGTTCACGTACAGTTGTGCCTCTGGCTTTTCCTTGTTGCCCACTAGCAAGAAAAATGGCTTAATTACTTTTCTCTGACTCATTTTATAAAAAAATAAGAAACATTATGTTGAAAGTCAGACTGCTTTAAAGCAAAAGCCATCTGTCCAAGGACTAGGGGATACAGACTAGAAAAAGGAAGGGAAATAAGAACACAGAACACATCAGCTGCACTATAAGGCCAGGAATCTAAGGCACCATCCAAGGTTAAAAGGGAGAGTGGGCAGAATTCTTAAGATGGCCCCAAGATTCCCACCACTGCCATACATGCTCTGTATAATTCCCTCCTATTGGTATAGGCAAGACTTTTAAATATGAAGGGATTTCATTCCTGTGTTTAAGTTATTAACCATTTGATTTGATTTTCTTATAGAAGCACATAAAATGGACAGATCTTAGTGTATAGCTTGACAAATTTTGACATGCATACCTTCATGTAATTATCACCCAGATCAAGATATCAACATTCTCACTAATTTATTCCCCCTTTCCCTATTTCACCCATTTCTCCACCTCCTCCTCTGTGGCAACCACCAGTCTGTTCTCTATGAGTCTGTTTCTGTTTTGTTTTTTAGATTTCACATAAGTGAAATCACATGGTATTTGTGTTTCCCTGTCTGACTTATTTCACTTAGCATAGTACTGTCTAGCTCCATCCATGTTGATGTAAATGGCAAGATTTCATTCTTTTTTATGGCTGAGTAGTATTCCATCATGTATATGTACTACATCTTCTTTATCCATTCATCTATTGATGGACACTTTTATTGCTTCCATATTTTGGCTATTGTAAATAATACTGTGACAAACATAGGAGTGCCTAAATATTTTCAAATTAGTGAGTTTGTTTTCTTCAGGTAAATACCCAGAAGTGGAATTACTGGGTTGTATTGTATATTTTTTCTTTTTTTGAAAATCCTCCATACTACTGTCCATAGTGGCTGCACCAATTTATAATCCCACCAGCAGTGTACAAGGGTTCCCTCTTCTCCACATCCTCACCAATGCTTACTATTTCTTATCTAGTTGACATCAGTCACTCTGACTGGTGTGAGGTGATATCTTATTGTGGTTTTGATTTGCATTTCCCTGATAATTAGCAGTGTGGAGCCTCCTTTCATATGCCTGTTGGCTATCTGTATCTCTTCTCTGGAAAAATGTCTGCTCGGGTCTTCTGCCCATTTTTTTATCAGTTTATTTGTTTCTTTGGTGTTGAGTTACTTGAATTCTTTATTTTGGATATTACCCCCTTCTCAGATGTATTATTTTCAAATATATTCTCCTATTGTGTAGGTTGCTTTTTCATATTGTTGATGGTTTCCTTTGCTGTGCAGAAGCTCTTTAGTTTGACTTTTTCCTACTTGTTTTTATTTTCCTTTGTTTCCCTTGCTTGGGGAGAAAGAAATTATTAATGCTGATGTTCAAGTTACTCCCTACGTTTTCTTTTCATTTTATGGTTTCAGGTCTTATATTTAGGTCTTTAATCCATTTTGATTTTATTTTTGTGTGTGGTATAAAACTGTGATCCAGTTTCATTCTTTAACATGTAGTTTTCCAGTTTTGCAACACTAACCATTTGATTTTGAGTTAATCAAAAGGGAGATGATTCTGCGTAGGTCTGGCATAATCAGATGAGTCACTAAATGAGTCAAGAAGCAGCAACAGATGTTCTGTTGCCTTAAGAAGCAAACAGCCATGTTGTGAGAGAAGGGGGCCATGTGGCAAGGACCTGAGGGTGGCCTCTAGGATTTGAGAGTGCTCCCAGGCTGATAACCAGCAAGAAAATGGGGATTTTGTGCCTATAGTTGAAAGGAATTGAATTTTGCCAACAGCCAGTGAGTTTTGAAGAGGACCTTAAGCCTCAGGTGAGATTGCAGTCTGGGTTGATACCAAGAGTTTGGCCCTGGGAGACCCTGAGCAAAGGACCCAGTTAAGTTGTACCTGGACTCCTGATCACAGGACTGTGAGATAATAGGTGTTATCTTAAGCCACTAATTATGTGGTAATTTATTATGGAGCAGTAAAAGACTACTACAGACTTTGGTACTATAAGTGGAGGACTGCTGTAACAAGTATTTAAAATGTCGGTGTGGTTTTAGAATCAGGCAGTGCGTAGAGGATGGAAGAATTTTGAGGAGCATGATAGAGAAATCCTAAATTGCCTTGAACAGACTATCAGAAATATGGACTTAAAGGATGCTGCTGAGGGCCCAAAAGGAAGAAACATGTTATTGGTAACTGGAAGAAGGGGAATCCTATTAGCAAGGTAAATAAAGGCTAGGAAGTTCAAGATTTGAGCCCTTGCTGTGAAGTATTTGGGAAATAATATCAAGCGAGGCTTGACATGTATAAACATCTGTGATTAATTCAGGATGTGGTACCATCCCCGTTATCACCATGACGTCTTTTGGAGACAGGGAAAGGGCACAGACTAGTTTTTACATTTACAGAAGGAAAATCTACAGCCATTTTTAAGTTTAAAGCCACTATGTTTGTGGTAATTTGTTACAGCAGCAATAGGAAGCTAATAAAGAATGCATGCTTAAACCCTGTGCCAAAAGCAGAGGCATTCACTGCACCATTTATCTATCTATCTATCTATCTATCTATCTATCTATCTATCTATCTATCTATCTATCTATCTGTCTATTTATTTTTTCATCATTATTTGTTCTAAAACTATAGTTTAAACAAAGATATGTTGCACCAGAGGATTGGAGATACAAACAGCACCCAAAGTGAGCTTCACTGATTCTCAAACATTTTGAGCTCACTCTCCAATAAAAGTCCTGTAGGTGAGTCTTAAGTATATCAGGAGCCATTGGTGTAACTAGGAGGTGTGTAAATTTACTTCTAAGTACAACACAATGCTTATTAATGAATATGTGCTCACTTGAAGCTTACATAAAAAGAAACTCAACAGTAACTTCACCAATTGTTTAGACCTTAGACCAAGAAAAGATTTTTCTGCAGAGGTAAATTTTATCACTGATGTTTAAAATGGCCTAAGCGTGGTGATATTAAAGCAGGCCAGATCTTTGTTGGGTTTTAACACTGTTTTTAAGTTTTCTACAAATAAAACTTTTTCTTTTTTTTTTTGCTTGCACACAGAGTGGACAATTCTTACCACCCCACATTGGTACAACACAGTTGCTGTCATATATTCTTTACTCAGATAAACAGTCAGAATCTTAAATGATCCTTAAATTTTTTAAGGCATGTATGTATGTTACGTGACTAGTCATTTCTCCATGCCTACATGTTTCTATCTCTAGAATTATGAAAGCATTATGAATGTCAACATATTGGTCTCCTGAATTGCACTGTTTTCATGTGATGACTATATATGTGACTGGCTAGCTTTAAATTTTCCCTGCTCTTCACAGGCTTTCTCTGAATTCCTCAATATGAATTGCATTTTCTTGAAGTCAGTATTTATGTTTTCATTTTATAAACTGAGAAACAGATTGAGTCATAGAGGAATTTACCCTCTATCACATAAGTGTTGGTGTTGGGACTCAGATCCACATCTTTTCATTATTAATCTCATTGTTCTTCCCAAATCCAAATTTCCACTCTAGAATCAGGTTCTTGCTAGAGTAGAGACAAATAATTTAGGTGAGGAATTGAAGTATTTAATAATCATAGGTAATACCATTCTATTGTGAAGTAATGCACTGAGCTAGTTTAAGCTCCTTAAATATTTTCAATTTCTCTTTGTCATTTTCTTTTTATCTCTGGAAGAGATTCCTTGTTGCATTTACAACTGAGTAAAAGCACTACGGTATAATCACTATAGTGTATCACTATAATCT